GGGCTGATGGCTCGGAGCCTGGAGCCTGTTTCCGATTCTGTGTCTCCCTCTCTCTCTGACCCTCCCCCGTTCATGCTCTGTCTCTCTCTGTCCCAAAAATAAATAAACGTTGAAAAAAAAAATAATTTAAAAAAGACAAAAATAAAATATGATTAAGGTGATAAATTTCACATTAGGTATATTTTAACACAATAAAAAAAAAGGAAAAAGTCAACAGCATAAGAACCCATGATTCCACATTAATAAACAAACAGGGGAAAAGCAAACAGTAGAACACCAACTAACACATATGGAAAAAATGACAGTTTTGTAGCCATCATATAAATAATGATTCAGGCAAAAATCATCATCAGATGAGAAAACTAACAGGTAGAAGTTTGATGAGAAACAGGTCACTTACATAATCTAACACTTTCTCCCACAAGAAAAAAACAGTAACTTCACAGTGGAGAAAACAAGTGGTCATCATCTTAATCACAGGGTCCATGTTGACGTGCACATCCTGGTGTCATGCACTAAGAAGTCCCCATCACTTTTGTAATCTTCCTGACATAAATGCGTAATTTCATAACCTGAATCTAATCATGGGGAAACACCAGAAAAACACATGTTGAGGATATTCTACAAAAACTTGTCACGAGCCTTAAAAATGTCAGTCGTCAACCCCAAGGAGACACTAAAGGATTGTTCCAGGGGGAGACTAACAGCTGGCAGCTCAGTTCAGTGACCCTGGGTTAAATCATGAGGGAAGATTTTGCTATAAAAGCAACTTGGGCAATTTTAAATGAATTCTGTAGAATAAACAATAGGATTATATCGACACTAATATTATACAGTGTTAATACTGTGACTTGTAATTCCATTAAGAGAATATCCTTGTTAAGAAAGGCTAAAGTACTGGGGCATCTGGGTGCCTCAGTCGGTTAAGCATCTGACTCTTGATTATGATTCAAGTCATGATCTCACAGTTCTGAGATCAAGGCCCACATCTTGCTCTTCACCCTGCTTGGGATTCTCTCTCTCTCTCTCTCTCTCTCTCTCTCTCTCTGCGCCCCTCCCCCACTCTCTCCTTCTCTCAAAAATAAACTTAAAAAAATTTTTTTAAAAAGAAATGCTAGGGGCGCCTGGGTGGCACAGTCGGTTGAGCGTCCGACTTCAGCCAGGTCACGATCTCGCGGTCCGGGAGTTCGAGCCCCGCGTCGGGCTCTGGGCTGATGGCTCAGAGCCTGGAGCCTGTTTCCGATTCTGTGTCTCCCTCTCTCTCTGCCCCTCCCCCGTTCATGCTCTGTCTCTCTCTGTCCCAAAAATAAATAAACGTTGAAAAAAAAAAAAAAATTAAAAAAAAAAAAAAAAAAAAAAAAGAAATGCTAAAGATTTTAGGGATTAAGGCACATCACATTTGCAATTTACCCTAAAATGATTTTGGAAAAAATATACGTTGAAGAAACACAATGAAGCAAATGTGAAATGTTAACAGCTGAAGAATCTTGGTAAAAGATAAAGAGGAAAGCTTTGTACTACTAGTATAACTTTCCTGTAAGCTTGAAATTAAGAGAGAGTTTCAAGTCAAGGTAGTAAAAATGGAATGTTCCATATATGTAGCGTCACAGTACCTGGCTACCTCAAACTATATCTCTAAAACTCGCCCAGATAAATTTAAAATTTTAATATAATAAATTAATACATTTATTTAAATGCTTCTGTTCAAACTGGCAAGAGATAAAAATGGTCTAGAGCTTTAACACAGTTAACAACAGTCGCTCTGTGCTTCCCAAACTGTTGCCCCCACCCATCCCACTATTCCCCTTGGGTCGGGGAGTCCAGGCCAACAGGGGAAGTGACTGGGACCAGGACAACACTACCAGGAAAGGGCAAGGGTGGAGGAGGGGGGGGGGGATCTCCCCACACAGGCTGACCCTAAAATCATGTGGATCTAGGGAAAAGTAATGGTTCTGGATGAAGATTTAGCAAGAGGACACTAATTAAGGTTAAAATGGGGAAAAGCTGAAAAATGACAATGAAAACTTAGAAACACCCAAGACACTACTGGGCCACTAAAACAATGAAATGCCTACAACCATCACAACTCCTGCAGGAGGAGAACGGGACTTCCTGACATGGAAAGTCATCCCCTACTCTCAGACTCCTCGCCAGCACCAACTGAGCCTGCTCTATAGGACCCATGGAAACGTGGAGATCAAGCAGTCCTCACAGATTCCTCCCAGCAATGATGAGCTGCTTGCTTCTGCATTCTCCAAGATTCCTCCAAAGGGCACACTTTACTTTTTTTTTTTGAATACTTCCTAAAAAGATGATCCATTAAAAAAGGTCAATTACATGAGAGTGTCACCGAGAACAAGCTGTACCCGGAGGAAGGGACCAGAGATCATCCTTCAGCGCAGTGCATGGCTCATGGACCCCCAGGCCCAGGTGACAAAATCACGACGAGACAGAGGTGACAATATCACAACTAGACAGACACAGCAACCCCCCAGCAGCTGTACCACCTGCCAGGACAGAAGAAAACCAGCAAATCACAACTAGAAAATCCTCCATTTTTTTTGGAAATGAAGCCTCATACTCCTGAACAACTCCTGGCCAGAGAAGAACTCACAACAGAAATAATTTTAACCGAATGATACACCAAGACTTACTGTATCTTAAGTGCACATTTAAAAAGCCTGAAAATCATTTTAGTATCCATCTAAGTTAGAAAAAGAAAGTAGAAAGAAAATAATAAAGAGCAAAAATTGGTGAAACCAAAAACAAACATCAAAAACATAAACATAGCTAGACAGAATCAAAGACTAAAGATGGTTTCTGTGAAAAGACTGGTGAGATTGATAAGCTGCTGGTGGAGAAGAGGTCCAAGCTGCCAACATCAGGAAGGAAATGAGGCTATCAGTGGCAAGGGAGCTGTTGAGCACCGTGGGCAAGCTCTGTGCTGATCCACAGAAAATGGAGCTAAACAGGAAAATCCCCAAAACTGATAGAAACACAAACAAAAGGAAATCTGTACAGTTCTATAACAAGTAAAGAAACTGAACCTGTAAATAAAAATTTAACCCTTTCCGTCAAAGGGAACTCCAGGGCCAAATGGAACCTCTAAACACTTGAGGCAGATATAGCACAAACCTCACAAACTCTTCCAGAAAATCTAAAAAGAAAATATACTTTCCAACTCCTCTTACAAGTCCTGCGTTACCTTCTTGGGAGAGCCTGACAAAGACATCGAAGGGAAAGAGCAGACTGGTTTCTCTATAACCACAGTGGTAAAAATCCTTTCAAAAGTACTTTTCTAACTAGATCCAGCGATATCCAAAAAAGAAAGCACACCACGACCAAACTTGAGTCTATACCAGGTTTGCTGTGAAGCATGAAACAATGAGATCACACTGGATGAAGGCTTATCTACAAAAGTGAATGAACGTACCCCACAACACAGAGAGTACACTCCTAAGCACGTGTCCTCAAGAAAGGGGTGCCCTGGGCAAGTACAGAGTGTTCCCAGCAGGATAATTCACAGGAACCCACTGAAAGGCTCCCAAGGATCCAAGACAAACCAATGGATAAACAAAGTGTGGCATCTGCGCCAAACAGAAATGCCGCCAGCAAAGAGGGTGGGCTGCTGCTCCGCAACCACGGCCTCACCGAGCACCGAGCCGAGTGAAAGAAGCCAGACCCACGAGTCTGGCTGTGGGACTGATTCCCTAAGTGTAGGATCAGAGCAGCCTGAGAACCAGGAGGGCAGCTTCTGGTTACATCTATGTGCCCACTTGGTGATAAATTCATTAGGCACCACACATAGGAGATCTGTACACCTCTCTGCATATGTGTCAGATGTCAACAGGACAGGCTTATTTAAAAACTACCGTTTATGGGGACACAGGTGGAGTTGGGGGTACAGATCTTTCTGACCTTCATTAAGAGATGTGAAAAGTAACTCATTTTTGCGTTACAGCTCTGCCACTCTGAGCCCTCAATACACATATTTGATGAAGAACTGACTTCAGAACATGGATTCCACTTTTACGCAGATTTTTCTCGATAAATATCATACTGTACTGTAAATATATTTCCTCTTATTATTTTAATGTTTTCTTTTCTTTAGCTTACTTTATTACAGTATATATAACCCATAACCTACAAAATACATGTTAATCAACTACTTATGTTATCAGTAAGGTTTCTAGTCAACACAAGACTATCAGTAAAGTTTTTGGGTAATCAAAAGTTGTATGCAAATTTATGGGGCGCCTGGGTGGTTCTATCAGTCGACTGAGCATCCAAATTCAGCTCAGGTCATGATCTTGAGGGTCGTGAGTTCGAGCCCCACATCAGGCTCTGTTGCTGACAGCATGGAGCCTCGAGACTGCCTTGGATTCATTCTGTGTCTCCCTCTCTGCCCCTCCCCTGCTTGCTTGCTCTCTGCCTCTCTCAAAACTAAACATTAAAAAAAATTTCTTTTTCAAATTTTTTTAATATTTACTAATTTTTGAGAGACAGAGACAGAGCGTGAGCAGGAAGGGGCAGAGACAGAGGGAGACACAGAATCCAAAGTAGGCTCCAGGCTCTGAGCTGTCAGCACAGAGCTGACACGGGATTCGAATCCACGAACACTGAGATCATGACCTGAGCCAAAGTCGCACACTTAACCAACTGAGCCACCCAGGCGCCCTCCACCCCCCGGCAAAAAAAAATTTTTTTTTAAGTTACACACAGATTTACAACTGCACAGGGGTTTGGCACCCCTAACTCCAAAGTTGTTCAGTTCAAGGGTCAACTGTACTTTAGGGCATACAACTAGACTCAGGAACACTGGAAATCCCTTCTGTTATTAAGTGAGTTTTAATCCACAGAGTCCCCTTCCTGCAGTGAGCCACCCACCCCAGCAACAACACGCTCTGTGTCCTGTGTGGCAGCATCTCAGCTCTTGGCTCCTGAGCTGATGACACCCGTGGCTCAGTGACCAAACATCCCTGTGCCAAGACCACCCTTACCGGATCTCCCTGGCCCTGTGGTCCGGGAAACGCTCATGGAAAAGTTTCAGTGCCTGCATCACAGCTGAGGTGCACTCCACATATGTGTAGTCAATCATGATGTCCCCTGGAAGAGGGAAGGAAGAATCGATGCCTATCAGCTTCACCTTGTTGCCCAATTTGGCAGCTCAGACCACACCATGAAGAATGCAAAGATCATAACATGCAGACCTACATGGAACATCCAGAGCCTGAAGGTCCTCCAGAGGAACAAGGGAAGAGACCCCAGTGACTGGCCCAGGAGACACAGCCACTGGGGGGGGGGGGGGGGGGGGGGGGGGGGGGAGTGGCCGGCACATACACAGTGACCTGGAGGCCCATCTGGCTACAGAAGAGCTAAGCCAGTGGGAGGGGAAAGGAGAGGGGTACAGGGCAGAGCCACTCCAACTAGACCACATTTAACAGTTACAGAAGCGAGACAGAGACCTGCAAGCAGGGTATAGGAGCATTTGCAAGGTTTGCAAGGAGAAACTCAGGTGAAGGCACACAGGTAAAGTAGCTGCCCTTACAGACCGGAACCATGCGCACAGCAGGGAGGACACAGGGCTAGGGGGTCCCTACCGACACCCTCCTGCCAGGTGCCTGAGCTCCATGAAGAGCACGCAGGACACAGGGTGGTCTCCACGGAGGATGGAAAACAGAGCAGGAGCCAGCCCAGGCTCGAGCCAGAAAGCCAGGTGACTCCTCTGCCAACCTCCGAGAAACAAAACCACAGCTTTTCCATCCACAACCACAGGCACTATGGCCACCTTCAGAGGCCAAGGAGCACAGAACATTCCAGTGTTTAGGGAGTGCTCCTTAAAGGATCCACCATCATCTGCCAACACCTTTGTTGGCACTGCTCCCACCCTGGGGGAGGAACTCCGGGCTCTGGTTGGCAAATCCATCTCAGGGCATGCAGGGCCCCTGGGTCTGCGTACCACCTGGCTGGCCAACCACTCACCAAAGACCTCCGAGGGGTTCAACAGCTCCAGCAAGTAGCCCCCACGCTTAGTCTCATAGGTGGCAAACCCTCCATCAGGATTTCTCATGTCCAGCAACTAAAACCAGAGAGAGGGCATCCTGAGAGTTCACTCATGTGGTTAAGCAGGCGGGAGAGCCCACAGGTTGTGGCAGACCATTCTAGAAACACCCAAGGCTAAAACGAAAGGGGCAGGGATGGGGAATGGGGGGCCAGTTCTCATATTAAACTGAGACCTTCAGTGCCTAGAGGAGTGGGCCACAACTTTATCACTCAGGTGCTCTACGAGTGACCATCTGGGACCCTGACATGCACCTGCTTATCCATTTATAAGTTACATGTGTGCTGCCAAGCCACACGATCTCCACTGTAAAACACGCACAGAGTGGGTGTACTGAAAGGGTTTTACACAAAAACAAACAGAAGTTCTCATCTTTCTGCAGATACCCCGTGGAGAATACCAGCCTTCCCGTAGGCAGCCCCTGGGAGCAGCCAGATATGCAAGCCTCCAACACAGGGCTCACGGCTTCCCAAACACAGACGCTGTCAGAGGACATGCCCCTCTGGGCTTTCAATCTGGCCCTGGGGATTTGTGGACACAAAAGCCACGGGAAGTGCAGCTCCTACGCAGCACGAAGTGGACCCAAAGGTTGGCGGCGGGGCAGCCGGGTCTCCCTCGTGCCCAGCAGCCTTACCACGGCAACAGCATCATAGATCTGCTCTCGTGCAACATGCTTGGTGACAAAGGGACACTGTTCTTGCAGGAGAAGGATGGACTTCAAGGCCTCAGCTGTGCAGTCAGTAACAATCCAGCCACAATCCAGCGTGCTGAAGGGGAAGCCACCCTGGAAAGTGTGGGGCCAGTCATGGCCAGGGCAGAGGGCCGAGCCCGTACCCTGATCTTTAGGACCACCCGAGGTGATGGTACCTCCCTCACCCTGGCAGAGCCCTGGCCACCATAAAGGTGCAGCCGCAGCCCCACACCACACACATGTGGACAGCCTCCCAACCTGATGTGAGAAGGTGTGCACTGCATCCACGCTCCCACACGCCCAGAGGAGCTGCCCTCCACCCTCTGCAGCTCCCTCATCACCCTAAACCACATTCCGACAACGTATCTGGTATCTGCATGTACTGCTGTCTAATAGCATCTCTGAGGCACAGGTGTGTGTGTGGGGGGGGGGGGGGGGGGGGTGTGCGTGCACAAAACACTTGTCGTGGCAGCATGAGGAAGCCCCACATGGCTCACTAACTCACGCACACAACTCCCCAGTCAGGGAAACCTTGAGTGTGTTGGTGAAACCCCACACCGTGTGTCTATCAGAGCAGGAAGCCACAGGAGACCGAGGAAAGAGCCCTCTCAACTAGCAAGGCATAGCTAACTGTGGTGGTCTCTTTTGGAGCACAGGGTGTAGGACTTGGGGCAAACAGGGATGGCCGTGGTACCTTGCTCATCTGGCGGTAGTACTTCTGGTAGTCAGGGGGGCTGTCTAGCACCTAGGCGGCATCCACATGGCACATGCAGAAAACAGAGAAGGCCCATGTCACCATCAGATGCAGACACCAGAGCCAGTAGGGGCTGGTGCAAAATACACAGGGACCAAGAGCCACTGGCCTACTGCCCTCTCAACCATCGGGGCCAAAGGCACCCTTTAAAGCATCACCCCGTGGCCCAAGGCCTGCCACCCCCATCCACTGCTGGGGAAACATGACCAAGGCACCACGCGGTACCAGAGAGGGCAGACCAGGGTGTCAAGGCAGAGGTGAGAAGGCGGTACCTCTGCGTGCAGAAGCCCCACCACCCTCAGGTCAGATCCGACCTCACCTGTGAGATCCGGATAAACTCATGTGCCTCCTGCAGGGAGGACGAAAACTCGGGCCTGTGCTGTGCCCCCGCCTGGAAGAGACAACAGAGGCTAAGCTGCTCGCTGATACAAGCCTGCACAGATGAAGTGGTTCCCAGACAATCCTGGTGACATCTTGCCACCACTGGGAAACAGGAGCAAACTCACCAGAGTCTCAGGCTCTGGATTCTGCTGACAAGTCAGAAAGATGTAACAGAGAAATAAAGTAGGCAAAAGAGACAGTCCACACCACATCCAGTGGAGCCCAGCCCAGCCCATGTCCAGAGGATCCCTGCCCCATCTAAGGCAGACCATACGTGGCCCTGACCACTCTTCAAGGTTCTCCAGAATGTCACCACTCTCAATCCTACCAGCACAAAAACACATTCTGGTTTCCCTCCAGCATGTGCTCAGAGGTACCCATAATGAGCAATTTGAATGTTGAGAAAAGCCTAGAGCCCACTCTCCCTGCTAGAAGCTTCCTGCCCTGTCTCCCCAGGAATAGACCTTATACGCTCCCTACTCCTGAAGCCTCCCAGCTGGCAAGATCACTGCCAAAACTTCTGGGCAAGATCACTGCCTCAGCAAGACCATCGCCAAAGGCCTCGGAGTCCAGGTGGACAAAGAGTCAGGGCTAGCAAGTGCCACGTCCACATTGGGTGCAGGGGTGGACACCCAGGAAAGTCAATTGGAGCCACGGGAGGCTAAAAAACAAGGAGGCAGAGCCACGTACCTCTAGCAGAGCCTGGATGGCAAATGAGGTGTCCCACACCTGTGAGCCGTTGGTGCCCTGCACGCAAGAACAAGCCATTAGAACAGCAGCTGCAGCCGGGCACTTGGGTGGCTCAGTCAGTTGAGCATCCGACTTCAGCTCAGGTCATGATTCTTGTGGCTTGTGAGTTCGAGCCCTGCATCGAGCTCTGTGTTGACAGCTCAGAGCCTGGAGCCTGCTTCAGATTCTGTGTCTCCATCTCTCTCTGCCCCTCCCCCACTCATGTTCTGTCTCTCTCTCTCTTTCTCTCTCTCTCAAAAATAAACATTAAAAAAAAATTTTTTTAGAACAGCAGCTGCAGCTCCCTCTACCCACCCACCACTGCCCAGGATCCTCGGGGATCGAGGGCACCTCAAGGGCCGAGGAGGAGTCTGGGGGCTCACAACAGCTCCCGCAAAGTGGTGGGAGCCTAGCCAACTCCTGACCTAGGCTCCACGTTCTGTGCACCCCTCAATGCCCCTGAGGGCCAGAAAGGGGACGTCTCTGCAGGCAGATGAGAGTCAGGCAGCTCCACCTGCCTTCACCAGGCCACCAGTTGGGACAGAACCCTCTCAGGGCACTTCCGGTATCTGGACAACCACTGCCCGTGACCTCCACTGTCCCAATACCCAACAACAGGCTTTTGCCCCAATCACAATGATGACCAAAAACACCCCCTCACTTCTGAGTACACCTGGAGGTGGTGGGGCCTGGCTGAAGCCTCAACAGAGCTGAGAAGGCCCCCTTCAAATCCCACCCTGGGAGCCTAGTTCATTGGTCAACACTCTGGTCCCACCAGAATGCCAGTGGCCAAATTCCAGTGACACTAAGATAGACGGTGACAGACACTTGGATAATAGGGACAGGGATGGCAATGCCAGAGCCCAGACCAATTGGCGGCACTGAGAGAGCAACAAAAACCATGGCCTTGCAGGACAATATATAGGAAGGACACCTGCCACCAGGAAAGCCTCCTGGCCAAAAGAAACCTGAATTGGATCAAGCCTGAGGGTCTAAATGCCAGTTGCAGGAAATACAGGGCACAGAGGAAACAACCAGTCAGATCCAGAAGGGGGATGCCCTGGGAACCAATCAGTCATCCAGGAAGGAAGGGCAAGCACCCAGAAGACCACTGGGCAAAAGTGGCTTCGAGGACCAGTCACCTGGCTCAAACCCTGATGCCAACAAACCTGCCACAAAACCAAACTAGGGACTGTCATCAACCCCATAAGGCAAAAGCAGTGTGATTTTGCAAGAACAAATAAGCTGGGGTGCTCAAGGAGTCAGAGGGGATGGAGAGCCCACACAGGGGTTTGTGACCTGCCTCCACTTGGCATGTAAGAGTCAGGGAGCTGGGAGTAAGGCAAGGACGCCGAGGCGAGCTCTGTACTGGGCAGTGCTGGGTCCATGTGTATCTGTCCCAAGGGCCAGTGGCCTATCTGACCCAAGAACACTGCCAGAGGCTCTGTGTTTCCACACTTAGCCAGATGGGTGACAGTACACATTGTCACCAAAACTCCCACAGGGTGATGCAACGGTTCCCAGGCTGACCGCTCTCAGGTCAGCCCTAGCCACAGTGTGACCAGACACCTCCACCCCCAGGGTCACACACAGGAAATGAGCCAGGGAGGGAGGTGGTGGCAGAACACCATTTATGATAAATGGCACAAAAAGCAGAGCAGCGGACACAGAGAAGGGCCACAGGGGAGCACATCTCAGCCGGGGGTGCGAGGACACGAGGCTGGGGGCATGAAGCACAGGCTCCCCTCCTTCCTGCCTGACGCCCACCTCCCATGGGGGAGTTGCAGACTCTCAGCCTTCCCGCAGCCTTTGGGGCCTGTCGGCATCGCTGTCACACGGCACACGCCCAGGAAGCACCCCGGCTGTCCCCCTCAGACTCAGGACTTGGGATACCAGCGGCCGCTCAGCACGTGCTGCCAGAACTCACTGTGAGGACTTACTGAATCTTAACAAACCTAAAGAGCAGGAATGGTTGAAAAGGAAGCAAACGGCCATGGCTTTATAGCCTTTACCTGCATTTTCATGCCATCGAGACCCAGCCTGTGAGGACAAGAAAAGCCCAGGTCAGGAAGCAGAGGGCAAAGAGCTGAAGTCAGGCGGCCACCCAGAGCCCGGCTCACCCCACTGCTGGCAGCAGACCCACCTGGCAGACCCACCCACCATGGTCCCAACTGCAATCAGTGACTGACCCATTACTCTTGTTGGCGAGGCCTTTCTGACATTCACCAGAACCTGCCCCATGCACTCCCAGGCTTCCTAGCTCTACCTTCCCAAACCACCAGAAGTTCTTGCCACATAACAAATCTTTCAACTCAGAGATAACCCTCACCATCTTCCACACAACCCCTGAAATTCCTGGTTCCAAATGTCACTATACACATACGTGATCTCCACGCCTGCCACTGTGCTGGGGAGGCCCCCACGCACATCTGCCCTTGGCTCTCAGCCATGTGCGTTAGGGACCAAGTGTGATGCTGACCAGCCACAGGCCCTTCCAGCTGCACTCACCAGAGGTAATCAGGAATCCTGGAGATGTGCTCCTGGAAGGCAGAGGAGTCTGGCCCATCCACGTACCAGCGCACAAGCATGTTGATGGTTTTTGAGATCTGCAGGAGACACAGCTGAGTCAGGACCTTGCTCCAGACCTGTAGTGGCTCCCAAGCATGAGGACCACAGCCCAAACACTGGGCCCCCAGCACAGCCTCGCTCCGGGCCAGACAAGGCCCTCGACTCTAAGCGGAGCAACTCACTGCTCACCAAGCCCCGAGAGCCAGAGACCTAGCCAAGTTGTGCCGCCAGAAAGGGAGATGGAAACGGCCTGGGGCACGTGCATAGACAGAAGACAGAGCATCCTGTGAGAAACAACGTGAGCCGAGGCAACTGGCGAGCAAGCACAACCGCCATGAGGGCTGGGGGTCCCCCACGTGGGCATGCAGGGTGTGCCTTGAATAACTCAGAGACGCAGAACAGGATGGCAGGAGGGGCAGGGTAGAGACAGAGAGACAAGACCTGTGTGGCATGGACTGCTTGCTCACAACAGAATGTTGGGTTTTTTGTTTTTTTTTTAAGAAATGATTTGATACTTTTTTTTTTAATTTTTTTTTTAACGTTTATTTATTTTTGAGACAGAGAGAGACAGAGCATGAATGGGGGAAGGGTCAGAAAGAGAGGGAAACACAGAATCGGAAGCAGGCTCCAGGCTCCGAGCTGTCAGCACAGAGCCCAACGCAGGGCTCGAACTTGTGAACCACGAGATCATGACCTGAGCCGAAGTCGGACACTTAACCGACTGAGCCACCCAGGCGCCCCTTGATACATTTTTTTAATGTTTATTTTTGAGAATGAGAACGAGAGAAAGCGTGTGCGCGAGCTTCGGGGAAGGGCAGAGAGAGAAGGGGACAGAGCATCCAAAGCAGGCTCCACACTGACAGCACAGAGCCCAATGCGGGGCTCAAACTCACGAACCATGAGATCATGACCTGAGCTGAAGTTAGATGCTCAACTGACTGAGGCAGGCAGGCATCCCTGGACAGAACGTTCTAAAGGCCCAAACCTCTGACTCTGGCTTCTCATAAGCAGTTAAGTGCTGTTCTCATGTAGGTCAGCCATGCTTTACTCAGTGCTGAGCCGAAAGCCCATGAAAATCACACTGCTGTTAAGGGAACACGACTCACTGCTCCACTGCTCCGTCGAGGCAGGACAACCCACCAGGCTGTCAAGAGGCCCCACAGAACACCAGGGAGCAGGCTGCAGAGCGGAGCCGCGGGATGCAACACCAACTGGACTTCCCCAGAGAGGCCGCGGCACGGCCCACCAGGGGCCCAAAACAACAACGTCCCCCGCAGCTGTCACCCCACGGCCGTAAGGCAGCCCCCCAACCCTGCACCGGCTGGGATACACCCGCCTCTGCATGCGTGTCCACACCCGGCCTCTGTCAAGCTCCACAGCCTCACGACGCAAAGCCAGGTCAGGAGCCTGGAGGCTCGGAGAAGAGAGCTCCAAGTCACCAGGCGTGGCAGGAACCAGGACTGGAACCCGAGAGCCCCGGCACTCCAAACCCCACAGGACAAGGGCAGAAAATGAGTTCTAGGGAAGACACTCAAGAGAGGCCAAGCATCCCTCCCAGCAGCCAGAGAGATCTTGAGAGGCAGCCCCAGGAGCAGCACTACACACTCACCAGGTGACAGGAAGGGAAGGGAGTACTAAGTGCAAGACACAGGGGACAGACGGGGGTTCTCTCTGCCAGGCTCTCGTGGGAGGCCTCACCTCCGGGAAGACCCCCACTCCCAGCTCCAGAGACTGGCCTCGAGACAGTCTTCTGCCCCAGCTCCTCCCCCCACATGGGCTGCAGTTGGGTGCCCACCCCAGGCCCAGACACCCAGCAGTGGGATCACTGACCGGGCCAATGCTAATGTACTTGGAGAAGCAGTCATCGGCCACGATGTGCTCGTACAGCTTCTGGATGGCCCGCTCCCGCAAGCTGGTGCTGTGGTGGCCCTCGTACAGGTTGAGTAACACTGCGGGGAGTCAAGGGTGTCAGCACAGGGCAGCACCTGGGGCCTTCCCCATGACCCTCCTGGACATCCTGGTATGGCACCCTGCCCTGTCCCTGATGCCATGTTCAGGGGCCACTCCCCCGAGTGGAACTCCAGCCCGGGTGCATCTCAGCACTGACTGGGGCAAAGACCCAGCTCCCACCCCAGGGCTCAGCACAGAAGACGTGAGCAAGACGACATGTGATCAAGGGAACATGACTCACACGCGGCACCCCATGCTGGCCCCCAAGCCACCAGGGTTCTCGCAGGAAGATGGGTCTGAGCTGGGCCCCACAGGGTCCTGCCCCTTCTCCCCTAAGGAAGGAACAAGCGGGCCCTCCAGGCCTGCAGCCTCCAATCCTCTTGTCCAGGAGCCCCAGCCACAGGCTTGCACCAGAGGTGAAGATAGGGCAGGCCTACTGGACACGTGGCGCACACGGTAGCCCTGGTCACCACAGGACCCAAACGACAGGCGGTGAGGAAGAGGAGGAGAGTCAGCATCATTTTAGGTGTAGGAGGCCCACCAGCCCCTCAGAAAGCACCCACCGTACACCACACGGAGCAGCCAGCTGTGCGGCGTGTACAGATCATCAGGGCACACGTTGTTCCTCTGCGCCGGCCAGTCGATGCTAGCGTAGTCCTCCACGTAGAGCTCCTGGGGGGCAGCAGCACCTCAGCACCCTCCTCTGCCCACTCCCTTCCCGAGGGCACGCCCAAGGAACATCTGCACCCCTAGCCCCATCTCAGTACCTCCTTCCCCAAGACACAGCGCAGGCCAGGACTCTGCTCACAGGTGCCCTGAGGCCATCCCACCGTGCAAGCCCTTTTGGGAAGTCACTTATGATATGGGGAGGTGCAGGATTCACCCCCACTTCATAGAACTCAGCCCTGCAGGGTCTCCGGCAAGCAGGGGTGTACAGTCGGGACTCAAGGGTAACCCCTCACCTGGGGTCCCTGCCCAGGAATTCTTACCTGACGGAGGCTCTGGACCAGTGGGTCCTCCTTAGCGCTCAGCCGGATGGCATAGCAGTAGCTCATGGGCAGATAGACCTGTCGGCAGTGGCACCAGAGTGTGGAGGGATGTGCAGGCATCCAGTCAGGAAACAGCCTGGGGAGACGGCATGTCAGCAGGAGATCTGGCCCCGCCATCACCACCAGTACAGCCCAGGCCCTTCCAAGGGTGGAGTCGGGGTAGATGGCTATGCTCAGCCCAAGTCGGCATGTCACAGCCACGTTCCTATGGGGTGCCGAGGAGCATAGTCTGCAAGAGTGGCAACCACTCCTCAGTTCAGCTGGGCACATCCTAAAACCAGGAGACTTGACTCTTAAACTTTCAGGACTGTCTGTGGGTTCAGCTGGGACAAAGGTACCACAGTAATATAAACTGTTAATAACAGAAACAGGGTGAAGAGTCTACAGGAACATTCTGGACTATCTTTGCAACTTCTTTGGAAATTGAAAACTGTTCCAAAATAAAAAGTTTACCTAAAACCTTTAGAACTGGCACATCTTCCCAAGGACTGAGGCTTGGAGAGTTATCACCACCAACACGTTTTTGCCCAGTTAGCCTGACCTCAGCATACACAGTTCCACCAGCTTCCCACGTAGGTGGGTACCCAGAGTATTTTCCCCACGCTTTCCCTTCAAGCCTCCTATTCTCATGTGTGAGAGGCATGGGCATGCCAGTCACGAGCTGGGCAGGCTCCCGCCTCTCCCAACCCTGTCCTCAGGCCACTTCCCTCACCCTCAAGGGCTTGTCTACTCACTTTAAAGGGAGGTATTTTACAATCTCTCTGTAGCTGGTGGTCCAGGATCTCTGGTCCCCCTCCTGCACACATTCCTTTCATCTTCTACCCATCCCTTCAAAACCACTCCAGGAAAGACTGGCAGTGCCCTCACAGCCTAGCACTGACTGCCAGATCCACCATGTAGGGACACAGACAACAAACAGTGCTCTGACACCCACACACCCTCCTGGCACTCTGCCCATTCCTTACACACCAGGCAGGTCCAGGGTGCAGCCAGCAGGCAGCCAGTGAGCACCATTGGGATAGCCCCAGAATGCCTCCCGGACTCCTCCCAAGTGTAGGCCTTGGGTAACAGACCCCCTCCCACTGCCTCCTCACTGCCCCTCAAGGCTGCAAAGGCTTGGTCCTCAGCACTTCCATCAGGATCTTTCACCCGATGCCTCTCCTCTACCAAAGTCATCTAACACAGAAGCCCTCCAACCTCCCTGATAGCTTTCTGGGGGGCTGCAACATCACTGGTGTGCTCCCAGGAGCCAGCAGGGGCTCTAGCAGGGGGCTCACCTCCTGACGGGGACTCTGGGGGATCTACACACACGTGAATGTTCTCTGGAAAGACGCCCATAGCTTTCAGTAGATATTCACAAAATGTGAATATCATTGATTAGAAGTATCACATTAGTGTTGATTTGACTAAATATCTATTTATTTATTTATTTATTTATTTATTTATTTAGAGAGAGGAGGAGGGCATGTGCACGAGCAGGGGAGGGACAGGGATAGGAGAGAGAGAGACAGAGAGGGAGAGAGAGCAAGAACTCCAAGTAGGCTCCGTGCTATCAGCGCCGAGCCTGACATGGGGCTCAATCTCACAAACTGAACAGTGAGATCACGACTTGAGCTGAAATCAAGAGTCAGATAATCAACCTACTGAGCCACCCAGGTGCCCCGATTTTACTGAGTATTTAAAAAGCATTGTGGTTCTGTTGTAACATGGAAATTCTTCTCTTTTAAAGATACACACTGAAGTGTTCACAGATAAAGTATGATGTCTGGGATTAACTTTCACATTCACCAGCAGAAAGCTAAGGGAACAGAACAAACAGCACAGCACACTCCAGTGCTGAGGCTGGCAAGGGCTGCATAGCCTACTGCCTTCTTGTCTCCACTTCTACAGATGCTCAAAACATCCCTAACAAGACACAGGACAGCACTGGTTCTCCCAGCCCTGCAGGGCCCCACCCACCTGCCACATGGCCCACCCCCACGGTACCTCCCTCCGTCCTGCCCAAGTGGGAACCCCTTCCATCTGTCTGCAGGATTCAGCCAAGCAGGCCTCCACCAGGAGCCTAACACAGCCTCACTCCACAGAGTGGACTGCCTCTTCATCTGGGGAACAGGCAGCAAGCGATCCAGGGCCCGTCACACAACTCAGCAAGGCACTGGCAACCCAGCCACACATCAACCTCAGAAGGACAAACATACCACATCTCCGGGAACAGAGTGTTGAGGCCTTCCCAGCTATAAACATTCAGGACAGCCAACCAGAACTTCCCCCAGGAGGGGATGGCCACAGCACCACCTGCAGAAGAGAAAAGGCCCAGATCATCTGCCTCTTACTATGAAGATTAGCTCCTCAGAAATCACGTGTGCCTCTTCTCACATGAACTGAAGACAGTGCTAAGGATCCTCCAACCCCAGATGAGCAGCAGGTTCCAGAGCTGCTCAGAACCACCCAACAGCACAGTTGCTGAGTGGAACCAGCTGCTTCCCCAGAATAAGTGTGTCCAGCCCCAAGAGAGACATTCATAGCCTCCACCTGCAGGAAGGCAGCTACCTGGGCAGGCGAGGGGCCCAGATGCACGCAGCAGCCTCAGGCCTAGAGAAGGTGATGAGGGGAAGTGAGCATACACTCAGCTTTCTCTCTTCGGGGGACCATACCTAACTGTTCCTCATCTGGGAGTCCCTACTTGGCAGATATGTCCACGCCCCAACATGGCGTTCAGAGACACTCAAGACACCAAATTGGGGCCACTTCCAGAAGCACCAGGCCTAGGCACAGAAACACTGTCCAGGACATGCTTCCCAACAAGGCCTCACCCCAAACCCAGGTGTGTAAAGTCAAACACCCACAAAGCTACTAGGAAACTCCTTCACCACGCAAGGAACCAGAAAGCAGCCTTGAGGCTAACGACGAGTTCACCATCAGAACAAAACCTGTGAAGAACGCAGGATCTATTAGAATGTCCACCAAGAGGCTTAATCTAGCCTGGTGGGTCAGGAAGGGCTCCCACAGAAGTGACAACCACAGTGATGGATGAAGGCTAAGTAGAAGTTCCCGGGCAGCAGGGTGGGAGTGGGTCAGGAGGCTCTAGGCAGAGGAAGTACCACATACAGGGCCCAAGGTAGGAAGGGGCCTCAAGGAGCTGACGGGAGGCCTCTGTGTGAGCACCGAGAGCGAGGAGGACAGGCATATCATGGAACGTCTGTGACACACAAATGGGAGAGACCTTGCCCAACCTGTAGAGCAGCAGGAACCAAGACGCCCCCCAGAGCTATAATCTGTCACCTTCAGAGTCCAGAGGGGAGGGAGGGAGAGGCGCCAGCTGCTGGAAGCCCCACGGGGTGTGTGGGAGGGTGACTGTGGGGCTGAGCAGAGCCAGCTGCCTCCAGAAAAGCCACTCCAAAATATAGCCCTGCCAGCAGCACACTGGTGGACTACTGGCTGAGTCTTTGCCATTGTGTGAGACAAACGGGATTATGTACTTATCTTAATTCCCTTTTGAAACAATACCAGTGAGGTTGGAATGTGTCCATCTCTTTCTGCTTTGATGGATCCCTTTTCACATATTTCACCCAGGATTTCAAATGGAGGCTGATCTTTCTAGTTCTCATTTGCTAGAGCTCATTATGCCCAGGTGATATGGACTCTTAACCCAATGCACGCTGTGCCAGGGGTACCTTTCTTGTGAAGAATGTTCCGGGCTCGTACCAAGTCAGGATCGTCAGGGCCAACACCCAGAATTCTCAGAGATACATAGTTGAGTGCAGTCCCAAACACTGTGGACTTGTCCTCCATGTGCCTAGGGGAGCAAAGGACAGAGTGAGAGAATGCCATGTTTCATTACTTGTAAGGAATTAAGCAAGGTTTTCAGCAAAATTTCCTCAGAAAATCAAAAATACTAAATTACCTTACACTGATACAACATGACAACATAATAAAACACAGAACAGCAATTTTCCAGTAAGAATTCACGTGCCTCCCATAATTGAACAGTTCCAAAAGTGCCTGTGCAGGACTTGCCTGCCTCTTCGGCTTACTTCCCATGCCTGAATCAACATGACCAATCCCAGGGTGCAAATCCAACTAAGGCTCCTTTGTCACTACAGCACACAGAACAAGCATCAGAGGCAACATGGCAGGTAAGGCCAAGACCCTGTGCCTGTCCAAGGGGACTAGTGAGATTTCAACATCCACCAAGATGCCCTGGGACCTGCAGGCCCGAGAGCCAAGGCCTTAAGCTTGAGGCCCACAACTCTGTCAAAGGATGAAGAGAGGCTGGGCTGTCCTTCAAGAATTGTAATGGAGAATCCCTGTGGTGTGGATTCAGCCCGCCAGAAAGAACCCCATCTCTGGGTGTAGAACAAAGGGCAGCAGAGCCCATGACCAAGGTGGGCAGGCAGCTGACCATCCTGAGGCAAGACCATGCTCCCAGAGTGTGCTAAGTGTCAGAAAGGCACACTGAGACCTGGGGAGGGTTACCTGGCCCCCCTGGTTCCACCTGCTGCCATCCCAGGGCCCAGAACAATTTCCTTTTGCCTTAGCAATAACAGCCAGGTGGCTTTCTGTGGGGTGTGGGTCTCAAGAGCCTCTCAACCAGTCATAAAGTCCAGGTACAACATAAGCTATGAAACCAACGCCCAGAAAGCAAGTAGCCACCTATTGTAAGACCCTTGGGAAACCAGAGTTCAGCACACAGCATCCAGCCAACCTCCCTCCTCCTAGGTTCTCCCCCCGACCCACCCAGGTCCAGAGCCAGTCACCCCACCCTTGACAGGTATATCTCCTACATATGAACATGTGTGCACAAGTAAGCACATGTGTGCAGTAACAAAATGACTCACAGGCCCCAGCCGCCATCAGGGAGCTGCACTGACCGCAGGTACCGCACTATCTCTTCTTTATATCCGGCTGGCAGATGGATTTGCGCCACATAGCATGTGATCAAGAGACCTGTGTGGCAGAAAGGACGTTCCTTTACTGGGAGGAGGAACACTCAGTACTGCCAAGCCTAGGCCCCTTTCCTCTCAACCCAACAGGGAGCTGGGTCTCCTTTGCACGGAAACAAGCCAGAAAAGGCTATTCCTCCTGGCCTCATGAGGGACTTTGGGAGTGAGGGCCCGGGGAGCAGCCACAACACAGGACACTCCTTACATAGGGTGTGCAGAGCCCACCCAGCCAAGTTCAGGGTCCTGCAATACTGTCCATACCTGCTGGAAAAGAAATACCAAATGGGTCACCCCTGGACAGAATATTTATTGCTTATGTTTCTCTGTTTTATATGTTTGGTTTTTTTTCAACCACACGTAGGAATTTTTTTTTTTTTTTTTTTTTGGGGGGGGGGGGGGAGAGAGAGTCAAGAGGGGGAGGGGGCAGAGGAAGAGAGAATCTTAAGCAGCCTCCAACCTCAGTGCAGAGCCGGATGCAGAGCTTGATCCCACGACCCTGGATCATGACCTGAGTTGAAATCAGGAGTCAGATGCTCAACTGACTGAGCCACCCAGGCACCCCTATACGTTTTTTACTAGCATATGTCACTTTGCAAATGTGGGAGAAGGACAATAAACATTACCCAGCCTAGCCCTCCTCAACATGGTGCTCCCAGGCCATCTTCAACCCCACTCTTATCTCCCCCAGCATTGGCTCCATCAGTCACATGCTGTAGCGCCCTGCAAGGGGAGAGGTGTCTTAGGGTAGGCCTTAGCCAAAATGCACCATGAGATACATGCCTGGCTCTAGATCAGAGGCATCAGAAGCCCTGGAAGACATGGCCACACACAGACACAGCCTGGAAGAAGGGACAGCTAGGTCTGGAGATGCTACAGAGGTTCACAGAAAAAAGTCATCCCAAATCAAGCCCATCTCTTTTCATCAGTTACAATGCTGTCAAGACAAAGAAACATACGTGGGCAAAAAACAGAACCAGTGTCTCCCTCATCTTACAGGCAAGGAAACTGAGGCAGGGGGCCCAAGTGGTGGGATTGGGGCGGGAACCCAGGGGGTTGGACCCTAGAATCAGGGCTCACCACAGCGATGCATATATGTATATGTATGACTGAATCCAACTCCCCATATCACATATGAGGCAGCCAAGGCACAGTGAAGTCCTGTCACCTTACCCAGGGTCACAGCAAGCCAGTGCCATGTCATTGCTTCCCCATAAAGACCCCTGGGAATAGTCAATGCCACATGAACCACACTCAGTCAGGAACTGTCTATACAGAATCGCCCCCCCCCCCCCCCCCCAACCAGGAGCATTTTCCAAATTAAAGCAGATAAAGGAAGGACCAAAGCTCACTCAGCCACGGAAGAACGCTGGAATGGTACTTCTGAACAGAACAGCATCAACCTGAGGAAGAAGGTCTATCCAGAGTCCAAAAAGGGGAAGCCCAGGAAAAGCCCCAACCTGCAGCCTGCACAGAGCAGAAGCCCCAGCTGGATGAGCCCAGAGCTGCAGCAGCAAGCCTAAAATAACGCAGGACCAAGAGCTCCCTGCGTGCCTGGTTTTGTACGTGTATGACCTAACCTGATTCTCATCATCTTCATGTCACAGATGAGGTGGCTGAGACACAGTGAAGTCCTGTCACTCTGCCCAGGATCAAAGCAGACCAGTGGGATCATGTGCCACTACTTCCCTACGAAAACCTCTGGAATAGTCTCAACAGGCTCCTAGTGGGGCCAAGGGAAGAAAAAGGTCCTTGACTTGCCCCTAAGGACATGCCCGTGGGTTCCTGGATAAGAAGATATAATGACGTACAGCCCAGGAGAGACAAGAACACAATGGATTCCCAATGCTCCTCCCACTAGGAGAAAAGAGCTCTTCTACATAAGTTCAAAGGAGATTTCTCACATTACATGGCCAAGTATTTCTTCAGTGAAACACTCTCAGAACACAATGGCCTTACCTAGCCAAACCAGTTCAGTACCCAGGAGGCCTAAGTGCAATCCTCCTAGGACTCAACCAACTGAACCTGCAGTTTCCCTGCCCTGGTTCCCTCAGTCACCCCTTCAAGGTCAAGTTCACACACCCAAGCTGTCTGGCCTCCCCCCACCTGCCCAAAGAAGCCTTAAAGATCCCACCCATCAGGGCACCTGGCTGGCTCAGTTGGTAGAGCACACAACTCCTGATCCAGGGGTTGTAAGTTCGAGCCCCACGTTGGGTGTAGAGATTAAAAATAAACTTAAAAAAAATTAAAAAGGTCCCACCCTTCACCTGCCCACTCTAGCTAGCACCTTTACATAGGCTAGGTCCTCCCCCTTGGAGTGTCCCTACCACTCTGTACTGGGACTCAAGAGCCACTCCTCCTCTGTCCCCACAAGAGTACCCCTTGCTTCCCTTACGGAAACACTGGGCTGGCAGTGAACACTGGGGATGGCACTCCCATTCCCCAGCACCAACACCAGGACAACACAGGCACAAGGCAACCCTCCAGAGACATCTTCCAAGTAAGCTCCTGGGTTTTCACCTGTTTACTCATTCACACGCTTCATTCACCAAGGGCCTGAACCAGGCCTGACCAGGACCCCAGGACGGCCTCACCCACAAGCTGGGGCAGCACCCACCTACCTGGCAGGAGGAAGAGTGGGCCGCCATAATCACCTGCCCAGTGCCCATCCTCAGCCTGCAGCCCCACATAAAATGTCATCCCATTCAGAGCCCCTTCGTGGGCTGTGCAGGCTTTGGGCAAGTCCTTAAAGTAACCGGTCTGCAGAAGACAAAAGAGAGGAGAGATGAGGGGTCTGTGGCCAGGCCAGAGGAACCCTCAGCACCTACAGCCAGGCCAAAATTACTTTCCAAGTTTCAACTGTTCGGATCAAAAGTCTACAACTCTTGGAAAGCACTGCCACCTCAAGAGGCAAAAGGAAGGTTCTACGTTCTCCTGCTTTCCAGTCACTATTTTCAAATTTCTTCATAACTTCTCTGGAACGTCTTAAATCAATAAGACAGATGTCCAGGCGCGCGGGAGGGGTGCAGTGCTGCCCCGGGACTGCCCCCCTCCCCCAGCCTCTCTCGGGAAGGGCCGCCAACGGGACGGGACTGGACTGAACGGCACGGCAGGTGGCAGCGGCAGACAGGGCCCCAGGGAGAAGCCCCACCGCCCGGCGCCGCACACTCCTTCCACCAGCCGAATCGCTCACATGCAATTTCCTGGATCAAAAACGTGTTTCTCAAAAGGACAGCGGTTTCCTCCGCGTCACTTGGTGCTAAAGGGACTGAAGCAGAGGAGCCCGGCCCACCTTTAGGGGACATCTTGGTCCGCACGCCCCACCCCCGCCGGGCCCGGCGCTCCCCGCTAAGGCAGGGGCTGCGCACCGGCTTCCGCCCACCTGCCCGCGGCGCCCGGCGCGGGCACCTACCGGGTCCAGTCCCAGCGAGTGCGCCTCCAGCCGGGTCTGCCCACGGCCAGGATCCTCCCCCTCCTGGAAATACGTCCACGTCTGCCTTCCCCTCTCATTTCGGAGGCGCCAGCGGCTGAGGTCGGTGGCGGGCTCGGTGCGATAGGGGCCCCCTCTACGACGCAGACACCTGAAAATGGTCGCGCTCCGGTGAGAGGCCGTCCTGCCCCTTCTTCCCAAGTCGGAGCCCGGAGGCCGCGGCCGTCCCTTCCGGCAGCCCACAGACAGGCCACCGTTTTCCTCAGCTCACAAAATGAGAACTCTCCGCGCCAGCTGGGCCACTACGCCCCCGCCGCCGGATTTCTCCCCGAAGCCCCACGCCCCCGCGGCCCCTCGGCCGCGCTCCGGACCGCTCCCTCCCTTCTCGGGGGTCCCGGCCTCGTCCAGCGGGCGTGCTAGGGCCGCGCAGGGGTCCCGGGAAGCAGAGACTCACGTGCCCTCCGTCATGAAGGCGGCCGCGACGTCCCCTACCCGCGCCCCGGCGCGGGTCCGCGCGCGCTCAATACATAGACTCGCGCCTCGGGCGACGTGTGGAGCGCGGTGGGCCGATGTCCGTGCAGCCAATCAGAACGCCGCGAGGGTGGGCCCAGGGCGCGCCCGGCCGCCTCAGTGGTGGAGAGCCAGACGCCCCAGCGCGATGAGGGCGTGGCCTGGGCGGGGCGGGGCGGGGCCTGCAGTCAGGTCCGGAGCTCCAGGTGGCGAGCTGCGTGGAGCGTGAGGAGGAGTGCCTGAGGCTTAGAGCCCCGTGGGGAGGGTCCCGGTGCGCCGGAGGAGGGCGGACTGGCGGGAGCGATCTGGGAGAGAGGCTCAGGCTGAGGTCACAGGCAGGGAAGAGCTCCTGCCCTTGAGGGAGAGGCCGGCTAGCTGGAGGTGAGTGCTTGAGGGGAAGACGGAAGCCTCGAGGTTGGGCCTCCAGGCGATGAGGTGGGAAGCCTCCTCGGCGGAGGAGGGAGGTGGTAGGGACCCGGAGGAGGCTGAGCCCCCGAGCTGCCCTGATGGGGATGGGCCTGGTGAGGCGAGCCTCCGCCCCCCCTCCACCGCCCCCGCCCCCCACCCCGGGCCCAGGGGCCGGGAGGGCCAAGCGGGGGCGTCAGGTGACGCTCGGGGACAGCCTCGGCTACTCACAGGGGTGCCCCGAGTCAGGGAGTGCCCAGGATAACTTAAAGGTGAAAGGGCTTGACAGTAAAGGGAAGGGAGATAAAGGTGGAGACACAGAGTAACCGAGCTTGAAAGGGACAGCTGGGGTGGGGGCAGCCTGGCCCTCAGGGGTGCACCGCAGAAACCTGGGCTGCGGGGAGAGTGGAGGGCATCTGATGGAGGAAACGGTGCTGACCCGGAGGGACTAGAGCCACAGGGCCCAGAGGCAACCCCTCAAGAACCCACAGGCCGCCCCAGCATTTGGTCCTCTGCGGACAGAAGCCCTGACATCCCTCTGGTCCCGCGCCGCCCCCTCCACCCCACGTGTGAACCACCGAAAGCCAGAGGGAAGGCGGTGGGGGAGGGGCTCCTTGGAAAAGAAGAAACACACCTTCCCTTTAATGGAATGAGTATTGGGGTTTTAGACGGTCAGTAAAGGACACTTGCCTCTTCCAATCGTCGTTCAGAAACTAGTGAAGATGACACACAAGTAGGATGATATTAAAATACCAGCCTTCCACATATACAAAGTAGTTTGGAAGACATGCCTTAGATCTGCAATCAAGAGGGGAATACTGACCCACCCCTAAATCAGACAAACATCTCCCTCAACCCCTGACCAGATGGGCAGCTGCAGCCTCCAGGCCACAGAGCTGCCTCACCGAGCACCATGCAGCCAAGTGCACGGAAGAAGATACCACCAGCCTGTGGACCCCACGAAGTGTACTCAGAGGAGCCTGAGCATACTTTACCCTGTCCATTCTCCCAAATTCACCAATCCATACTTCGTTGGGAGTAGAAAACAGTTTTTCTCCACTGATGTTCCTCCACGTGGAAACACAAAGAGTGGGAATTAGGGCTCCAGCCTACAGTATGGACATCTGAAACCCTGAGTCTGGCAAAGCCAAGGGACAGAAGCAGTTTCAGTTGGAGCACACTTTGAGTTTTGATATTTTACTGTACTGGAATTTTTATGAGCAAAATAACAATTTTTTAAAAATATCTTGGAAGAAAAAAAGTGTAAAAATCCATCTGAGAATTCACAGGTAAGACTTTCTAGAGACAGTCATGAGAAAAAATAATACTTCTCTCTACTTGCACCCTACCAATTCCAACTCATTTAATAAATTGGATACAGAAGGCTCCAAAGTTTTTGGCATGAACAACTGGGCATATGATGGTGTTGTTTACAAAAGTAGAGAAGGTTTTGGGGGAAATTTCAACTTAGATTGGAAACATGTTAAGACAGATGCTCATCAGACATGTAAGTGAGTACACTAGAGTAGACTTGTGTTCAGGAGAGAGGACAAGGCTAGAGAAAGGAATTTAGGAGTTACCTATTTTTAGGTGATGTTTGAGAATAGGAGATTGGACAAGATCAACTAGAAAGTGAGTGTTCCAAAGAAGATTTTCTGGGTGAGTCCTGGGGCAGGAATAGTTTCCAGTTCAGAAGAGAAGGAGTAGCCAGAAAAACAGGAGAAAAACCAAGGTAATGTGGAGTCAGGGAAGCCAGGCAAAGACATGGTTGCGTAAAGGTTTTAGAGGAATTGTAAAATGGGGTCTGAGAATTGATGATTCTAAATGTTGCAAGACAACTTATTGGTGACTGATAAGAGCAATGTTAGGAAATGTGAAGAGAAGAGCCCGGCAGCAGAGTTTTATTTTGTTTTTAAGGGGGGAATTTCCAGTTAAACATGTCAGACTGAGCACAGGCATTGACTTCCATTTCCCATCCAAACTCTATTTACATAAAGTAATAAAAGATAAAAAAGTGAAAGAACGGGAGAGAAGTTACCAGCAAACTAGAGAGATCAACACAATTGTAGAAGTTGTGAGGTAAGAAGTGATAACTGACCTAGCAAGCCAGAAAAAGCTGAAACCCATAGGTAGAAGTGAACCCATCAAGAAAGAGACCATTTTTGCTAACAAATCCAAGGAAGGTGCAGAAATCAAAAGACCTTTGAATAAGCAGTATGATGATAGGTCCCTTCCTCTACCTGGATGGGAGCCTGTAACAGTTGAGTCAGAGCAGGTGTGAACTCAGGAAAGACACAGTTGAAGTCTACTGAAAGTGGGGGGGGGGGGGGGGGGACAGGGGAAGGTTGAGTGAAAGTCCTACACTCATGTAGGAGCCCGGTCCTGCGCCTTCCATTCAGCCATAAGACTTCAGGAGGTAAGAAGAGGATTTCTTTGGAGCAAATGGCCCCCCAAAAAGACCTGCAAACATTGACAGCTGGGACCCACTGTTAAAGTGGAGAAGCCAATCGGCTGTCAGGTTGTAACCCTTGACACAGAGCTTCCAACAAGCTCCTTAGAGCCCTTCATCAACGTGAGCCAGACATTTGAGGAAAGCCTCTATGAAGAAAGACAACAAAACATACCCAAAAAGGGAATTTTGAGAAATAGAGAGGATGCCAGGTGTGGAAGAGGACTTGAACAAAAACATGTCCTCACAGAGGTAGGATGTTGCATCCATGAAACCAGAACCACCTGATGCTCTTTCCCTCCCTACACTATTTTCCTCAGTGCTTCCCACTGATTAGCAGACCAAACAGTTTGCATATTTATCTTGTTTACTGCCTATCTCTCCATTAAAATATAAGCCCTGTGAGGGCTGACGTTTGTCATATCCCCAGCACCTGGAATAATGCTTAGCAGATAGTAAATATTCCGAAAGTATATACTGAATAAACGAATGAACAGGATTCTCTAAATAAGAAACATTAAGGAAAAAGACTCTCAGGAATAAAAAATATGGCATCAGATTTTAAGTCCCTAGAATAGCAATTTAAAATAGGGAAATTTTAGGATAGTGGGATAAAAAATAAGGATATAAAAAATAGAGGAGAAAAAATTAGAGGATCAATCCAGGTGGTCAAACATCTGAATATTAGGAGTTGCAAAGGGAAATAATGGAGGAAAAGAATATATTAAATAATTTCAAAAAATTCCAACATAGGCGGATAATTTTCCAGACTGAGAAAGCATGGCATATTGTTTTCTAAAGATTCCTGCAACACCTCCCATCTCACATGCTCTTGTACAATATGGTCTTAACACTCGTCCCAATGAGAAGTGGGATCTACATCCCATCCCTTGAATCTGTACCCAAACACTTGTAATACCTTGCTGTGAAAGTTATCCTGCACGAGTTCCAAAGCTGGGGTTGCATTTTGCTCACTGGAGCACTTGTACTTGGACCCCTGAGATTCCATGTAAGAAGTCTGACTACCCTGGGCAACCTTGCCATGGCCACATAGTGAAGTCACAGATTAGCCACGCAGGTTGAAAGGCCCAGCTGAGCCCCCTGCCAACCATGTGAGTGAACTTGTCTTGGACAGCCAGTCTAATCAAGCCTTCAAGTGACTGCAACTGTGTGAGCAATCCCTAGAGAAAGCTGCCCAGCTGAATCCTTCCCACATTTGCTACCACATATGTTTGGAGTAGTCTGTTACACAGCAATAACTACTGGGGGGGGGGGGGAATGCACCACTAATGCTCAGCACAACAAATTGGGTGGGTAATAGAGGAGGGAGACCAACACAATCAAGCATGTTTTTGAGAAATTTAAGAACACTAGGAACAGATGATTTGCAAAACTTCCAGCAACAGTAACAACCAAAACAGGAGAATGATTACCAATCTAAAATTCTATTTCCAGGGTGCCTGGGTGGCTCAGTCGGTTAAGTGTCCGACTTGATTTCAGCTCAGGTCATGATCCCAGGGTTGTGGAATTGAGCCCTGTATCAGGACCCATACTGAGCATGGAACCTACTTGGGATTCTCTCCCCTGCCCTTCTCCCCTACTTGTGTGTACGTTTTTTCTAATAAAGAAATTAATTAAAATTAAAAGATAAGGGGCACCTGGGAAGGTCAGTCAGTTGAGCATCCGACTTAGCTTAGGTCATGATCTCACAGTTCATGGGTTTGAGCACCACATCGGGCTCTGCTGTCAGCACAGAGCCCCTGTGGGTCCTGCTTCAGATCCTCAGTCTCTCTCAAAGGTAAAAAAAATAATAAAAGAAAATAGGGCACCTGGGTGGTTCTGTTGTTAAGCATCTGACTCACGTCATGATCGCACGGTTTGTGAGCTCAAGCCCCACTCCAGGTGAGCATGAGCCCTGCTCCAGATGGGCCCGCTTCTCTCTCTCTTTCTGTCCCTCACTAGCTCCGTCTCGCTCTCAAAATAAAAGATAAAATAAATAAAATTCTGTTTTCATTCAAATGATAAATCAAATTTAAGGGTAGATATAAAGACAAGATAGGAAAGCTCAGAAGGCTGCTAGAATATGGGCTCCATCAAAATGAGAAAGCAAACAAAGGAAGAGGAAAATCTAGGACTCAGAATCCAGGACATGTCCACACTGTGGCAGAAA